TTTTTTTTTTTTTTTTTTATCTAGGTTTGACCTATTAAGAATTTGTTGGCTGTTACTTGTATCTTTTTACCAGTAATATCCCTTGATGAATAAGTTATCCAAAAACTGCTTGTTAACTGTCCCAATTTGGCTTGCTCCTCAACTTTAATTCACTAAAAAAAAGGACCTTCCATTGCAACGTCCTTTTTTAGCACAAACTGTTTTAACAAAGGATATTGTAAATATTATTTCAGTACAATTTTAGTGCAAACTGTTGCAATAGAGGGGATTGCAACAGGCAAATTTTTTTTGTAGTGATTGGCTTTTCCATGTATATTTAGAGCTTGATGTACCTAGAAAAAAAGGAATAAAATGAAAACTAATATGGCTAATCTAAGACTTCAAAACTAATAACTTAAGCAACATAATGTAATCAAGTCAATAAATGAAAAAAAGTTGAATCTATTGTACAACTCAAAATTAAATAAACAAACAAAAATGCTATAATTACAACGTCATATGGTATTGTAAGCTTATAACATGTTTTGTTATTATATATTTAACTTTTTTCATTCAGTGATTTACTCTTGATATTATATGTATCTATTCATTTAATATTATATCATATTCATCTCATGCCATATAAAATTATAAGTTTACAATTTTATATGATGTTGTAATTATAGCATTACTAACAAATAAATAAGACTTCAAACTTGCATACCTTAAGATAAAGGACTAAAAGATTGGAAAGAAACAAAAAAAAAAAAATTATAAAATCAAAATAGGCGCAAACTTTTATCAATTAAAAGAGTTTTAAAACTTTAATTTACAGAAAAAGAAAAAGCGGGATCTCAGTTTTTTAGAATAGAAGACCAAAATAGTGCATTTTGGATTATAAAATACAAATTTACCTTAGGCAAAAAAACATATTTTGGTACAATAGAAATTCAAAAACTTTTTCTTTAATACATAATGTAACAAACTTTAAAACTTTTTTCCTCCAATTTAATAAACAAATATAAGTTGTGCTTCTTTAAAATACTTTTATCATAAAAATAATTACAAAGAAAAACCACACAATAAAGCTATAAAATTAAAAAATATATATCAAGCATGGGCTTAATCAATTACTTGATAAATTCCCCAAAGAGTAAGGGTAAGGGTAACAAAATTTTAACCGAAGGGTAATCGGCCGAGTAATAGTAAAAAACTACCTGAAGGATATTTCTAAGGTAGTGGCATACTTGAGCCTATACTCAGCCCATTGCCATTTTCTAATTCCCGTGCATAATCTTTTTTATTAAAAAAAATAAAAAATCTATCATATTGAATAATAATTCTAAAAGGGTATTTTAGGATGAAAAATTTTCAACCATTGATCATGTGGGGCCCATATTACACCAACACCATGATTAATGGTTACTATAAATTCATCTTAATGTGCGCTTCTAATTATCATTATTTTTTACATAATTTGACGATGATGAAAAATCAAGAAGGAAATAAAACCAAATATTGAAAATAGAGGAAATTGTAATTTAGCAGCTTGTGGTTTAAGGGAAGTACACATAAAGATTTGAGGATGTGAAATATGCACATAAGATTCTTTGGTTTTGAAATGTGTAGATAAAGACTTAAAATATTAAAGTGTGCAGATAAACATATAAGATTTGCATTTGGTATAAATAATCATTTAAAATTTCTTAAAGACTCCTAATTTAAAAAAATGAAGAGAAAAGAAAAATAAGAGTATTTTGAGTAATTTTATGTAACTTCAAATGGTTATATGCACTTCATACAAATCTTATATCCTGATTTGCATTTTTTCAAATCTTAAGTTTTTATGTGTACACACCTTGAATCACAAATATGAACTTTGGGCATTTTAAAATTTTGGGTCTTTTTTTACATTAATTCTAAGTCAGGAGTGGCTAAAGTGTCATTTTCCCTTGAAAATATTCATAAATTATAAATGGTAAGAAAAATCTAGAGTTTTCTCTTTTTACAGCAATAAAAACTTTATTTGGTAATGTAATATCGTACTTAAAAAGTAAATCTCTTAAATTATAAGTCAAACCCTTTTATCAAATATATATAGAAACCAAATCTCTTATTCATACCCGTCAACTGGGCCTGTGGCCCAATTGGTTGGCCCTCAAACTTTAGAGTTTGGGTGAGGCGGAAGTCAGGGTTTCGAGCTCTGCCAACGCTGTAAACTCCATCAACTTGCGATCTAATGGTCGCACGCCTCAAATGAGAGGATGGAACGTTCACTTTCCTGGAAAAAATTCCAACTGCTAACAAACTAACTCTACTAACTTCCTAACCATCTATCTAGTAAAAAAAAAATCTCTTATTCATACCCTTAATATTTTATTTCTATACTTAACACTTTTTAATATCTTTTTTGTTCAACACCCTACAATTTTCTAAATGAGTAAAAAGCTCAAAATTCAACTGAGGAGTCACAGGACTGGCATGTGCCAGTTACCTTCCGTTTCATGGTGTTATTTTGATGAGGTGGCAACAATTTATTCACACGTGGCACTTTCTTTTTGTTTTTCTTTAATAATATAAATTATAAATTTATAATTTTACATAATATTAAATAAAATGTGATATGATATTAAATAAATAAATATAATATTATAAATAAAATTTTAAATAAAAATAATTATATAATAATATATTATATTCTAAACTTATAATTTTATATGAGATTAGTGTGTATCAATTCTAATTATTAAAAAAAATAAAAAAATTGGAGTCTTATATAGAAATTGAAAATTTAAAAAATCAATTAATTTTTAAATCTAAATATTAATATTTAATAAAATAAATTTTTAAATTTTAAATTAAATTTTAATTAAATAAAATTATGTATTTTAAAATTAATTTTCTTTTTTAAATTAACACTGCAA